ATGATGGGAAACAATGATGAACATACATAGGTGTGACGTAAGTTTAGTAAGTGATTTGCATATTAGTATTGATACATTGTATGCAACATCTTGTGATGACTTGGGCTCAGTTCCAGGCCTAGTAGTTGAATAATAAATATTTTAGTTTACATATTATTCTTTCCAGTGTGTTATTCTCCTCCCAGATTTTGTGACCATAAACTCACTTGGCTCACTCTACTCAGCTCTCAGTTCATGGAATTTAAATGGTTGTCTCTACCATAACAAAATCTTTGCAGCCATTCATATCTAATGTCTGGGGTAGCGCATATAAACAGTAACAAATATTTTATCTCCATTAGAAATGCAGCCATGTAAAACAATTTCATTATAAATTTTATGGCTGTTGATGCTAAACCCTTTACATCAAACATCAACAAATTTTTCATTTTTACAAATACAAAAAAAGAAAGTGACATAAAAATAGCTGCAATATTAGCACAACCCATGATTTTAACATTCACTTCTGATACATGTACCAGTGGTCAGATAAAAAACTCGCGGTCTAGAATCATACCACGATAAATGAACAATTATGCAAATAACATGAAGCTGATGAATACAATGAATGTCTTTGGAATGTTTTATATGTAACACAATTATTCCATGTATGATAGGGTTTGCAGCAAACACGTATAAAAAGTTATCATCACTATCATTATGTGGTGTGCACACTAACCAACCAAATGTTTAAATGAATTAATGAAACAATAAAATGAAAGCAGTGATTGGACTAACACGTACCTCTTTTTTCTCCTCTGTTGTTTCTTCCTGTTTTGATAGCCTAGACAGTGCCAATGGAGTACTGTGTCGCGGTTTCCGAGCCCTAAGTTTTACAGATGGTGGTGTTGCACTGCTGACAGGACGTAGAAGTCCTTCAGAGGGGAGATTAAATCGGAACCCAACAGAATGTTCAGAGCCTTGTTGTACCATTGATTGTAACTCCCTTTTGTTCTTAGTTGTTACTGTGGCAACAGACGATGAGACAGGTTCATCTAAGTCATGACAGGCTTCAACAACAGCAGGAGTTTCCGTGCGTTCTGAGTTCTCATTCTCTCTACCATCTCCATGTAAAGAGGACTGCTCTACTGGACTCACAGCTGGTGTGTCCTTTGTTACCGACTGATTCGGCGTTGTTGATTTCCTTTCATCATCTACAACGACAGATTGTTCGGACTCTTCCATCATTTGAAAAGAACTTGTTCCCTCATCAGCTATTTCCATGGGAACAGGTTCTGCTAATAATGACTGACTTGGGGAGTCTCTACTCAATGAATCAATTATTCTGGAAGCTGAAAACAAATCAAAAACAAGTTTTCATGTAATTATCATAAATACAACTATAAATAAATAATACAGCTATCTATGATTTAATTTTCATCTCTGGGCAATTTGGTGATTTGGTGGGTTTTCAAAGTTACATGAAAGTATTGAATGAAATGTTCACCTGTACAAAATATTGTT